CAATTCACATTGCAAGCGGTTTTTTGTTTTGACTACACGCCTGACCTTGTTGCTCCTGCTGATGCCACAGCAGAGGAGCCTGGCTCTAAAATGTGCTCCAATTCATATTGACTTAATTTGAAAAATGCTGCAATTATTTTAAATTAGTAGAATAGATGCTGAGAGAAATAAGTGTAAAAGGGAAAGTCCATAAAGTGAAACCCAAGGATGTTCAAGATAATTAAACACACAGTACAAAAGTACATAATACATATTTTAAAGTTTGAAGATTTTTTAGATTTGAGTCTTGTTTTTTATTAAGAGAGTTTCTGGTCTTAAAAGTGTCATTATTAGTAAGATAATAAGTAATCTTTATTTACATAGCGCTTGGAAACCCAGAGCGCTCCAAAATTGTTTTGACTTCAGAGAGAAAAACAATCTCATTCACATATCTGTTGTTTTTAATTTGACTATAAGGTTGTGTTCCAGGACCAAGGGCACACACTGTACAGGGCCACTGGACAGCAGGAGTGGACACTGGACAGCAAAGCCCACCCAGCCACAGGTCACAGATCAAAAAGCAAAGGGAAATGCCACCTCCTTGCCCCTCCCCACGCCACTCCAGAACTGAGTGGGTGTGAGAGAGACCGGGGTAGAGAGAGGTTTCTGGAGACGTGATGGGTGGAGCGTCAGTGAGAGACCTGAATGAGAGTTGAGAGTGTGTCCACGTGTTTGCATCACCACAGTGTGACCTTTGAGACCTGCAGGTGGTTCGAGGAGTCTGGAGACACAACCCCAAAATTCACACCCTACACGCATACACACACACACACACACACACACACACACACACACACACTCACACATTCACATTTACATATAGATACATGAAAAAGCAGAACATGAGAAAAAAGTATTTTGAAAGTTTACTCCAATGTAAACACATATTTTTAATTGTCTATCACTTGAATCTTTAGTTGAATCAGTATTTTTGAGACCAGAAATGTTCATTTGAATTCTATATTGTCATGGACTTAATTGACGTCTGTCCTGACACTTTTGATTTGTAGATTTTGTACTGTGTGAAGTAATTACATTGATTAGAATTAGATCTGATAAAAACACAAATTAGAGAAGTAAACTGCGCGTGCTTTTGTCTGAGGGACATTAGCAACAGCATGAATGGAAATTGTCTTTAAAGTAGAATCAAAGTGACTTAACCATAGAGAGTAACTACTGCATAACAAGCTGTGTACAGGAACTGAGACACTGCACCATTGACCAGAAGTGCATCGCAAATGACCTGATGTGCTTCAACTGAAAAGACTGTATCTGGAGATCCTGATGTGCATCTGGAGAGACCAAAACCATGGCTTGGACCCTACTGATGTCCAAGATGACATCTCTCGAAATATGACCTGACCTGATGACGACTGAGACTCACCCTCAGGGGACCCTGAGGACCTGAGGATCTGAGGATCTGAGGACCTGAGAGAAAAAACCGGGGAGTGATGTTTATATTATTGAAATCATACATTGATGAGTGCTAAATGAGACAGATACTCATGATTCTTTCTTTTGTTTTTGTTTGTCCCTAGCTTCTGGACATCTGATGATCTATTGGACACAGCCATTTGCAGAACAAGAACCAGTCAATGAAAAATCGTCTATTGCTGATGCTATTGCTACAACCAGAACCTGTGACAAATGCAATATACATGTTAAGTATTCAGACATCTGACAGACAAAAACTTTGACTTTTTAGTCTGGTAGACTGAGCAACTGTTAAAATGTTTTAAAATGATAAAGTATGAGTATTGTAGCGTTTTAGTTGATGTTAAATAGTAGTAAAAAATAGAATAGAATTGTCCTTCCTTTGTTTTTCATAAACACATTTCCACATAAGAGTTAAAATAGTACCATACAATGTTATCCTTTTGATAGAGCAGCTAAAATATTAGAATCAGAATAATGTTAGAGCTATTAAAAGTGATAGAAGTCACAAACTAGAAATATGCCTTGACTCAAGCTGCAACCGAGCTTTAGAGTCACAATAGAGTAAAAATAGAATTAGATAAATGCATCAACCATAGATGCTTTCAAAAATAGAGATTATTTCTAGCCAGTGCTAATATCAAATGGTAAAGGGACCATTTCACAAGCATTTACTTCAAAAGTAGATAAAGTTAATTACAGTTTTATGCACAGTTTTATTAGATACTTGTCAAATTCACTTGTTTTCAAACATCTGTGAATGTTGACAATACAAAAGTTCATGAATGTAGCTTAGATCAATGAGATAGATTAGAACCAACAGAGATTCAAAAGCATTTAAAAGCATTTTGATGTATTTGGGTATAGCCCAAAAACACAATATATTTGTGTTTTAGATATTTAGATATTGAGAAGTTTCCAGAACAGATTAGAGAATCAAACACCATTGTAGAATAACTGACCCCAACCCCAAACCTGCTAAAACAGATTAGCTCTTGTAAGGATAATACTAATTTGATTAATGATGTACATTCATCCCAAATGCCTGACAATAATATCTTTAGATAATAAAAAGTAATAAATCACTGACCACTATAGAAGTGTAAATGTTGACCGTTTGCCTTACTGTGTTCACAGTTTTATTCCTGAGAATGTAGAGTAGACATGGAGCAAAATCCCACTGATAATAAGCCACTGATAATGAAAGTAAACCAGAGAGAGATTAAAATGTATGTTTAAGAATATGGCTCAATAGAAGCAAATACACAAACATATTTGTAAATAGATTAGAATAGTTTTAAACTATAGTGATAGTAAAAGTAAAGTACACAGTCTAAGATTAAATAGTGAAAATAATACAGTGAAATAAGTGAAGTGTAAACAATTAGCATTAGAATAAAAGTATAGAGTAAGAAAAGTGAAATTGGCTTCTAATTTGAGACTCAGATGTTTGCTTGTTTTTATTTTTGATTTGTTTTTGTTTATTTATTTTTGTTTTGTTTATTTTCCCCAGGATAGAGGATAAATTCCACTGATATTGATTTGGATGATTATGAGTTTTAATAATTTTTAAAAGTTTTTTTTTAGATTTTTTTTTTCTTTTCTCACTTTATTGATTGATCAAATTGAGTGATCACATGTGATTATGTGATCAAAGGGGAGGGTGTTAGTATTAGATAGCAATATGGCCTACGTGCAGGACTGTACAAGGACTCTACAAGGACTCCATGTTATGACTATGATGTGACTGTCTCTTTGTGACACGTATGTCTTTCGATGTGTGACGTGACAATGACTATATAAACTGTGTACTGCCTTTATTCTGTCTGAGAGAAAGAAACAAAGTAAACCAGTGGAACTTGAGAGAAACTTAAATAAACTTCCAGAGTTTGGCACACCACGATCCGTCTCTGTCTGCTAAATCCTGACATAATCATCTTGGGACCAAAACATCAACACTTCATGTGGATACTGAGTAGAACAAGTGAAATAACATTTGCATGACCATTGGAAAATCTTTTTTGATTTTATTTTTCCGTCTGTGGACATAGATCAAAGTAAGTAAAAAATGTAAAATCTTGTACTTTCTTGATATGGCTTGGACTTTCTCTAAAAAACCTTGTAAGTTTTAGAGCCCTTTAAGAATATAAACGGCTGAAGTCTTTGTGAAGTTGAGGCCCTGTAGTTTTGGCCTCTGATAACTAAACGCTAAAAAGGATGGCATGTCTGTGGATATAGCATCCTTTTGATCATAGAAATAGATTTGGGGACCTATACTGGAGCAAAACAGACCAGATGGAGTATTTCCGATTTTGGTCACAGAGTGTTTAATTTGACCGTAAATAACAGGGATCCAGGTTTATTTTTGTATCACATTTCTGGGTGTTGTATTCAACCTATTGGCTGACAAACAAGTCATGTCTTGTTAATTTATCGACCATACAAGTGATGGCTTAGATGTTACTTAAAAAAATGCAATTATGACAACCCACATTTTCATTATTTTTTAATTTATAATTGGAAAATTACATCTTTACAGGAGCCTATTCAGATGGTACAACAGGCAAACAGGCATGAGTAACCACGGGAACACTATGCGCAGACTAGTACTATGCTTGATCAAACCACAGAACAGTGGCGAGTTACGTGTCCGAATAAGCTTCATGTGATTTGAGGCTTTTGTCTGCATTATAGTAACCAACCTGCGTTTGGTCAATTCATTAAAAGTAGAAAAAAAAACACAAGTATGGTAGGTCTGGGGTCCATAAATATCTTAATGTATGTACATGTCATGGCTCATTTTAACAGGGTTCCCACTTGTCGTAGACCCAAAACACTGTCAGGACGGCCCAGTCGCCTGATCGGTCAGTGGAGACTCGTGTGGACTTAAAGCTGGGGTGCCTGACTTTCAAACCACAAAAATCCATCCATCAAACTAGTTCTAGCTCGAAAGTTTGTTCAATGAGTTTTAACATTTGTTTTTTTAGCATGTCACATCTTTACGTCATCTTTTCCATACAAAAAAAAGTGAAAAAGACAATCCTTAACCAGCTCTAAGCCCAAAGTGTGATAGTTTGTTCTTACAATACCATGTTTTCTAATATGAAAACATATTGAAGTCTCATTTGTCCACATTTTACTTTTTCACCCTCTCCCTGTTAGGAGTACACACGATGGATTGTTAATGAGGAAAAAAGTGACGTACCCAAGCTTTAAGTAATGAATGAGACAAAGGGGAGGGACATCAAAATGTGTTAATATCGCAGCTGCCGGAGTCTAAGTAGCGACGACAGTGGAAGCAAAAGCAAACCTTTCCTGTCCAATACAAATTAGTTCAAGAAGGGATTTCAAGAAATATTTATTTGATAAAATTCAAGACTTTTCAGGCTATTGGGAACCCTGTACAACAAAACAAGGACTGAATGCAGAGTGTGTTTTTTTTATCAATGATCCCTTGTGTATATGGCCATTAACAAAAGACAAAAATGGGGGTGGTGCTGGAGAGAAATGCATTTGTTGGAGGCATCTTAATCCTCCGTAAGGTCCTGCACAAAAAGCACCTGGCAGCGGTTTAGTCCCGCCTCCTTCAGCGTGGGGGGGTTGGGCTGGTCCTCGCTCGGGAGGCAGGGCAGGACTCGGCGAGGGAAGTTTGTAACTATCTGAAATTTTTCTGGAGTTTCTTTCAAAGAGAAGAGAAAGTCGTGTATTACCTGTCAAAATAGAAGACGTTTTATTAAACACAATGGACACGCACAGTGAACAACAATTAAAGCTGGAGTACCTAACTTTGAAATCAAAACAATTCATGAAACTAGTCAACCTGGCTCCATCACCATCTCTTTCACATGCATGTATTTTTGGATTCATCTTTAGATCACCTTTTTCAGACCAAAAAGAAAATTGAGAAAAATGTATCTTAAGCAATACTATCTGTTACAACCAAAAACAAGTGAGGTACTCCAGCTTTAAAAAAAGGTTCAGATTACTTGACTTTACCGTCAAAGACTGTCCAAACAGGAACCGCCTCTCCACTCGAGTGTCATTGGGCAACTTAAAAACTATTTTGACACTGTCTGGATCATCTGCCTGTGGCTCCGGGGGAAGACATTCGGACTTCCTCTCCTTCTCCTCTTCAAGATTCTAAAGAAAAAGAGAAATGGTTAACTGTGTGAACAGTGAGAGTGTGCCGAGGTTCTTGGATCAGCTCTCCTCTCACCCGTCGCCTTCGCTCCTCCATAAGCACACCCTGTCGCACTTTCTCCTCCTCCTGCCTCTTCTGCTCCTGCTCCTCTCTCTTCTTTCGCTCCTTCTCTTGATCTGCCCGAAGCGACGCCTCGAACTCCTCGTCTTGCCGCTTACGGATTTCCTGGGTCTGATTCCTCTGCTCCCTGTTTTATTTGATTAAAAAAAGAAGGAACCTATTTAGTTGTGGGGTCAGATCAAAGGCTTATCCACAATCCAAGCCCAACAATACTAAAGTAGGGTTTCTTTCTTCTGGGTCCAAAAATATGTATGATAAAATAAAATGCAAATGATCGGATAATAAAACTTGGCTAATCAAAACAAAGACAAATCCCAAGATGAACTAAGTGAGAAAATCATGCGAAAACTCAAACTACATTTTCAAATCCTAAAAACAGACACTTTACAAGTTTACGTTAAAACAAATATGAAGCTTGGAGTCTTTGGTGGGACTTGTGGATGAGTTTCTTTGTCCTCTCTAATGGTAAAGTGACGCATTCTCCTTACCTGTCCATGCGCTCGGACATTAGATACGATTGGTTGGCCTCCATGATGAAAGTGAGCTGGTTGATCAGGTCCTCGGGCTGGATGAGGCCCTCCAGGCGGCCCACCATCGTCATCTTCCCGTCTTTCAGCACGATCATGGCCAGGAACGGGTACGTGTTCTCACGCAGTGCCTGAGACGCTAGAACCAAAAGTTCAAAAGTTGCATGTGCGATAACAAAAAACAAAAAAGCATATACTCTGGTGTTGCATTGAAACCCACTTCACGTACGGCTGATAGATTCAAATGGAAGAGAATTACCTCTGTAGCCCTCAGGTTTGCTGGTCGAACATGCCCAAAAGAGCATTTGCGTGTTAATGAATGTTATGACCTCTTCTGTACATAACGTGGAGCTGCAGAGGAAAGCACAAACTATTCTCAATGCCTGGATTCAACATGACACAGCAATAATGTGATAAGGACTAATGTTATGTACCGGCAAAACTCGTCTGTGTCTTGATGATCATCTCCATGAAGGTAGACCAATAGATATCGGAGCTCCCGTTTGGCATCATTTAAGGCCTACATCCAACAACACACAAAGCCCAGAGCATTTTCTCATCCTTACTGCACTTTCTCTGTGGGCCTTGTTCACATTTCACAACTGCCTAAATGTTTACATAAAAAGCCAAACTCGTCAGGTGTGTTCAACGTTTATCTGGGAACGCATACTTTAAAATTGATTGTGTTATCTATGAAACAAAACAAGACGTTAAGTACCAAAGCTTTAACATTCTACGCAAAAATGAAGCATGCCTCCTGTTCCCTCAGTGTTACTGCACTCACCTGGCTGTAAGTTCCCTGGTAGAACACAGGATGTGACCGGCCGTATTTCTCCTCAAAATTGTGAATAAAAGATACAACGTCGCCAACAGGGTCCGTCACACGGCCGCGGGGGTCTGGCCTAATGAACCTCAGCGCAAACCTGGGACAGAACGTTATTTAATACTTGAAATACATATCTATTATTATTTACGTATTTTATAAATCAATTATAGTACCTGAGTATATCCAAAAGCGTGTAGTATGTAAATCTGAACGGTAACATTATCAAATAGTAACTCCATCCTAGTAACCCCTGGGAAAATAGGACATTTTTGATCATCAGAGACATCACAAAAACAAATAGATGTTGCACTCATTTTCACCACATGGGGGGGTTTACAAGTACAACAATAGATTATGTGAATATTGTGAGCCTACCCTGGGTTGTGGCCTTGATACGATGTAACTATATATTCTATGATCTGCTGTATTGACCTGTAAAGGTCTGGGAGGAGGTGGGTGAAACACACTGGGCACTCCTTCTTGCTCGTTAAGTCTGTCTTGTACAGCAGCCTGCCAACATTACCAACATTGATATTTTGCTGTTTTCAGATATTGCAAATGGATTCATAAACTTTAAAGTTACCTCTATATTCCAGTTATGCTGCTCTAACGTGCGACGGCATTGGTCTATAGACTCCAAGCCAGTTAGATCCTGTTGGACAGAAACAATACAGTTCTTTTAGCATAATGCATACTCAATTAAAAAAAAAACGCTTGTGATATATCGCTCTCTCACTCACACACAGACACTTACATTTGTATAAAGGGAACGCTGTTAACCGTTATGGTAGTATCGTGTTTGGGTTTGAAACTCAAAAGTCCAATAACAGGGACAGTCTGATTAACACCTCATCACAGCCATTATAAACACACGCAAGGGAGTCATGCTCACCATTGTTTATCATAGTCTTAGTACCTATTAAATGCTTTGCAGAGTCGATCAGAGTTAAAGTTGCGTACAGTGACAGCTCGATCATGGTTGCTTTGCTAATATGAACTCAGCAACGTCAGCCCAACAACCGCAAACCAAGTTGAAAAATCCCATTGATTGATCGACCAATCGCTTAAATCGTTTTCAACATTACACATGGTCAGGGAAAAGACGAAATACCGAGCCAGTGGAGGTTAGAGTATTTGTATCTCTGTTTAGCCCTATAAGTCTTTTACTTGTTAGCAGTCGGAGCTAGCAGTGCTAACATTAGCTTGAGTCAAGTTGCCTGCATCGGTTTGGGGGCTGGGGATCGTCACCGAAGTTAACAGAGCAAAAGACGTCCAAACACACGCACCCTTCCCCCGTTTATATACGAGTTATGTGGACCAAGATGTGCTAAGGCTTCACTACAAATGCAGGCTCGTGTTGATGCACATTGGGCCACATTTACCTGAAATTGGAGGAGTTTTTCTGTCTGCGCCTGAGATAATTCTGGCTCCTCTGGCGCCGCCATCTTAGCTTCGCCAATCACCAACCGGGCGTAACGCTGACGTAACACGTCACAGGACTTCTCTTGGAACAGAGAGCGCCCTCTAGCGACTCGACTGTGTGATGGTAATACACATATTATTTTTTCAACTTAAGTACTGTACTTTATGGAAGCCTGTTTCTACCATGTAAAAAAAGCCTACAGAAAGTCACAATTTTGAGTTTAAACTCAAAAGGACGACTTTAAGATAAGATAAGAATTCCTTTATTCGTCCCACAGTGGGGAAATTTTGATTAAAACTCTAGATTATTAGATTAAAAGTCAAAATTATGACTTTTTAGATGGCGTAAACGGACTTCCATTGGTACTTAAATAGCTTTTCCTGTAATCAGTACGTTACTACTACCTGAGGAAGTTCTGACAATGTTTAATTATGGTTACACTTTGAATTGGCTGAGTGGATGGCACTCTCGCTCATCAGCAAGAAGGTCCTGGGTTCAAATCCTGGTCAAATCAGGGTCTTTCTGAGTGGAGCTTGCATGTTCTCCCCGTGCCAGCATGGGTTTCCTCCAGGTGCTCCAGTTTTCCATATCAATAAAACATGCACACTAGGTTAAATCCTCCAGCTCTGGCCCTGACCAAGCCGAGCATCAACATCTGGAGATGGGTTCCCGGGCGCTGTAATTCGGCGACCACCGCTCCTGACGTAAGCCTTAGCGGCATCAGGATGGGTCAATGCAGAGGAGGAATTTTCCTACGGGGATTAATAAAGTGCACCTTTACCTATACCTATGTTTGTAATATTCTGTTAGTAAAAGGCATTTTGACAACGGTATACTGTTGCCATAGGGCAATGCTTAAAGATGAATATAGTACGTAATAAGTATTTAGTACTTTTGCCACCCCTGAGAACATATCAGAGAGTGTTTACTTGTTTTTGACGAAGTGCAACATAATTGCTTAGTTAATTTATTGTTAATTATACAGTACAAAAATAAAATGACAGTCATTGAATCCTTGCGGTTTACATTTAATGTTACAAAGCTTATTGTACAAAAGGTGAAATTTCGTAAATGTGTATTACTTTTTTCCTTCCACCATAATAATGTGATAACCAAACTTAGTCTTAACAGGTGGATCTGTGTAAACAGGTTTATCCATTGAGCTGATGGGTAACGCAAATGCAGCATCCTGAAAAGGTCCAACCATCGACCCTCTAGTCATCCAGCCCAAGTCGCCCTGTTGGAGAGAAAACAAACATGGAATCTGTGACGTTTGATAATCTATTTCAAGTTCCTTTATCTAAGTCCTAGGGACTCAATGAGACTGAACTTGAGCTAAACCAGGACAGACTAAGCTGACCCACTTGTGTTACTACTTTTCTGTGCCATTTAAATGATTTTTATTTTTATTTTGTAAAAATAAAGGTATGTTTTTTACGCTAACAACAACTGTGTTGCTCTTGTGTTTGCCTGAAATAAATAAATAAAAATGAGGGTCCTTACGCCTTGTCTGGCTTTGTCTTCACTGAACTGAGTCGCTACTTCGCTGAAACGAACTCCTGCTTTCAGTTTCTCCATGGCCTCCATGCACTTGCCATGTTTTTCACACAGAATGTGGCGAACCTGATGGAAGAAAGAAAAAAAGGTCTGATTTAAGTCATGCATTATACATTAAAAGACTAGTAACTAAGCATTTTTACTCAAGTAGCCCACTGTATTTGTTTCTGCTTCAGGATTTTACTTAACTACTTCTTCCTCTGACAACCTTTTACTTTTGCTCCTCTCTTTACAACTGACAACATCTATACTTTCTACTCCTTATATATTAAAAAAATCTTTCTACTTTACAGATGGCGAATCAACATGAAAACAGGATCTAAAGGGGCTGACCACAGTAAATTAATTTGATGATGTAACCACGCTTCTAAATTCAGATAAAACCAACCCAGATCCATAAAAAATTATTCTTGGGTATTTTCAAAAATAATGAATTGTTGATAGACCCACGAAAGACAGATGTGTTAGGGAAGTCAAACGGTTAATGGTATTAGCACAACTGATTGAAAGCACTGTCAACTAAGGTGATTCAATTCAATTCCTTCGGAATTAAATGAAAATGTGTTTTCACAAAAGGTTTGTGTGCTTTTTATCAAACAACACAGCTCTCAGCATCACTAGATCTTTGTTTTCATCAAATGTATATTCACTAACCCTAACTGAATAATCAAAAATAATAATCTGCCGATTAAAATTATGATTATTGCAGACCAATCATTTGTATTTCGTGTTGTGAAGTTGCCTGTGAGATTACCTTAACTGCAGTGCCTCCTTTGGGGGTTTTCTCTTTCTTGTCCGCATCTGCGCCTCCTGATGCAGCCCCTGGAGGGAGTTAATGTTATGCTAACTTAATATGAACATTTCCTATAATGTAACAATGTTAATCACAAGCTTATACGGTGTTGACTATTAGCATTACTCGGACGTATGGGCAACAATCACACTTATCAAAAGTACTGACCTTTTCCCCCTTTGCCACCTTTGCCTTTTGGGGGCATGTTGGATTGAAAAGGATAAAGAATGTGTGTTTGCAGAGAGAAGATCCTCAAATAAAACGAAAATGAACTACACTAAGCACATGCGCAGAGCGCCTGCGCAGAAACGCTCCTTCTGCGACCATGAGGCAGAGTATGTTTAACAGCGACACGCAGTGGACAATAGAGGAATATGGATTAATCTCCAAATCATAGACTGTAAATATGAATAATAATATAACCTCCAAACTCGGTTATGTCTTCCTCAAATCTTCTCTAACTATACTAATAAGTTCCCTTTAAGAGCTGAAGGAGTTAAGAGTGCATCTAAAGAGCTGGCCCTGTAACTACGTTGGTCTTTATAAAAAGGACTTTACGCCTCGACTGATGTCCAGCAGCATTTATTTTCATACAGGCCTGTGGAAAACTGAAAAAAACAAAGGTTAAGGAGAGCTTTGTCAAATAAACTGTTGGCCGACACAGCTTACTGAATTCGACTTGTCTGCTTTATTGACAACTCGCATATATCATGCTGCTTACATGTTTCAGATCTCGTCTGTCTAACAACGAACTCTCGCGTTACTTCCTATATATAATGTATTAACTACGTAATGCACCCTTTACATTACAGATACCTTTACATCTCCCCCTCAAATTATTATACTTATATAACATGGGGTCACAACATAAACTTATAACTAGTAACCCTATTACCTGTTAGTTTAAACAACTTAAAAGAGTTACTGCTTTTCTTTCTTATCTTTACCCATTAACCTTAAAATACTGTACTTCTCAGATTACTTCTAAATGTAAATAATAACTCAAACTTAACTTAAATCCTTAATAAAACTTAAATTCACTGTTCTCTGAGTTGCTTAACTACATGTCCATTCTTTTCACAGGTCTACTAACTCTACCAAACCTGGTCACTGTCAGTCCTTCTGATATTACTGCAGGACTCTTAACATTACTCTCACACAGTCCCTGGTCAGAGCCGTGTTGTGGTGCTTCTTGCTCTGGCTCTGTGGCAGGTTGCCCAGAGTCTGTGTTCTCCTCTTCCATCGGTGGCGGCACTTGTTGAAGATGACGCCTGTTTCTCCTCATCTCTCCTCCTCCTGGCGACTTCACCTGGTATGAGCGCGGCGTGCCGCACTCCTGCTGCACCGATGCTCGACCTTTCCACACCTTCTCCCCGTCCAGCTTGGACAGGACGTGGTCACCTGTGTGCAAGGGTGGCAAGTCCCTCGCTCCGTGTCTCCGGTTATAGTAGAATGCCTGCTGTTGTTTGGCTTCTTCATCACGGCGACGGATGAGGTCACGGTTTGGCTGCATTGGAATGAGGTTTTTCTTTAGAGATGGCAGTGTGGTGCGAATCTTACGCCCCATGAGCATTTCTGCCGGGCTCACTCCTGTGGATGTGGTGGGGGTGGCGCGGTAGCTCATTAAAGCCAATAGTGGGTCGTCCTGCTTGAGTATGCGCTTTGCAGTTTGCACAGCGCGCTCTGCATGCCCGTTCCCTTGTGGGTTGTGCGGGCTGGATGTGGAATGTTTAATGTCATACAGCCTGCAAAACTCTTTCCAAGCATCACTGGTATACTGGGGCCCGTTATCACTGACTAAAAGCTCAGGGATTCCGAACCTGGCGAATGTTGCTTTCATGGACCTCACTACCTGTTCTGTAGTTGTGGTTGATAAGTGTAGTATCTCCAGATACCGTGAGTAATAATCTGATATTACTAAGTATTGTTTTCCTTTGTATTCACAAATGTCTGTGGCTATCTTTTGCCAAGGTCTCTCAGGCAGGGGTGTTGACAGTAACTGCTCTCTGCGCTGAGTGCGTCTGTTTGTCAGACAAAAGTTGCACTTGTCAATTTTTCTTTTAATGTCCCCTGACATCTTGGGCCACCACACAGTCTCTTGAGCACGTTCTCTACACTTGGACAGGCTCTGATGTCCCTCGTGTAGGCGGTCTACCACCTCCTGTCTCAAGGCCTGTGGGATTACAATGCGACAACCCAGCGTGATCAGGCCCTCACATTCAGACAGTGAGTCTCTCATGTCGTAGAAGTCTCTAACGCTGTGTGAAGTGCTACTCACTCGTTTGGGCCATCCATCCCTGATCAGCTTTCTCACGTGCTGGAGCTGTGGGTCCTCCTGCGTGGCTGTCCTGATCCGGTCCAGCTTGCTTTGTGAGACAATGACTGCTTCCGTAGTGCTGTAGCTCTCCTTCAGCGGGCTGCGTGACAGTGCGTCGGATATGACCAACGTTTTGCCCGGTGCGTACTCGGCCTTTGCATTGAAGCGCATAAGCCTCATCAAAAGTCTCTGACACCTAACAGGCACCGCGTCTAGGTCTTTGCTGTTTATCAGCGGTACCAGCGGCTTGTGATCTGTTATGAGTCTAAATTTGTCCATGCCAACCAGGTACTTCTGGAACCGCTCACAGGCCCATACTCCTGCCAAACATTCCTTCTCGATTTGAGCGTACCTGGTTTCCGCGTCCGTTAATCGTCTGGAGCAGTACGCTACAGGCTTCCAGCTCTCTCCGTGCAGCTGGAGCAGGACTCCTCCCATCCCGTAGCTACTCGCATCCGCTAACACTGCGGTCGGTCTCTGTGGATCATAGTGGGCCAGTACAGGCGAGGTGACGAGGGCTTCTTTCAAGCGCTGAAACGCTCGCTGCTGTGGCTGGTCCCAGGTCCAGGCCATCTTCCCCTTTAGGAGATCGTACAGTGGGCCTGCGACATTTGCCATGTCTGGTATGTATTTGCTCATGTAATTTATCATGCCTAATGCACGCTTCAGTTCATGTACATTGGTGGGCGCATCCAACTCTCTGACGGCGCTCACCTTTTCTGGGTCCACTCGAACCCCGTTGGCGTCCACGATGTGGCCCAGGAAGCGTAGCTGTGGTTGTGCATAAACACATTTTTCTTCATTCAGCTTAGGGCCTACTTGCTTCATACGTTCGAGTGTGCTTTGCAAGTGTCTGTCATGTGTGGCCTTGTCCTTTCCATGCACAATCACGTCATCCATATACCCTGCGACTCCTTCCAGGCCATCTAGCAGCTCATGCATTTTGCGCTGGAATATCTCTGGGGCTATATTAATCCCAAACGGAAGGCGGGTAAAACAGTACCTCCCGAAAGGTGTGATGATGAATGTGGTTAGAATTCTGCTTTCTTCGTGAAGCGGTATCTGCCAAAAGCCTGAGGCAGCGTCGAGGGATGTGAACACGGTGGAGCCCGCCAGCTTAGCCAGCGTCTCATCTGTGGTAGGTAGCTGGTAAGTTTCTCTCTTCAGGTTCTCATTCAGCTTCTGGAGCCCTACACAGATTCTGACGGCGCCTGACGGCTTCAGGACTGGCACCATTGGCGCGCACCATTCTGTCGGTTGTGTCACTTTGACAATCACGCCATGTTCCTCCATGCGCTGTAGCTCAGCTTGGACTTTCGAAAGGCGTGGCAGTGGGACTCTCCTGGCTGTGTGTACGGCGTGTGGCACGGCGTCGTCACGTAGGTGTATCTTCACCGGGTCGGTCTTCATCGTGCCCTGGTGGACGGCTGCTGCCTTCACCTGCTGTACTCGCTTAACCAGCCCCATCTCCACTGCTGTATCTCTGCCCAGTAAGTTATTAACTGTAGCCCCTCTAGCCACATATATATTGAATATGTGCTTTCTCTGTTTATGTAATGTGCTAGCTGTAAATTGTCCCATAATGTCCAATGTTCCTCCTGGACTCTCTAATGGGCCATGGTGTGGCTCCAGCTTTCTTTCTGGTTTGAGTGCCTTGAATGTTTCCATGTTCATTACAGTGACGTCAGCACCTGTATCAATTCTAAATTTCACTGGTGTATACCCTATGTGAATTTGCTCAGTCCATTGCTCTGCACTGCTTTGTTTTTGTTTACTCACTGCACCAAGATAGAAGCTTTCGTCCTCATCATTTCCTTGGTTAACTTCCCTCACAGTCTTTGTGAAGCATTTTCTTTCCCAATGCTCCTTCTTCCCGCACTTCCTGCATTCGGAATCCGTTGCTGGGCATTTGGCTGCATTTTGGTGCTTTTCTTTACCGCACCGATTGCACTTGCTCTCCCCTTGGTAGCCGTGCCGCTGTCCTCCGCTCCTCTCTCCCTGCGGTTTCCCTCCTTTCTTCACGAACCTCTTTTGTTTCACTGCTTGCACCGCCAGTGGAGCCTGCTGCTCTTGCTGGGTTATCTGTTGTGCTACCTCTTCAGCTTGCCTCACCATAAGCACTGCCTTTTCGAGGGTTAAATCCGAAGTTAATTGCAATTTTCTGGACAGGTCTTTATCCCTTATCCCAACGACCAATTTGTCTCTTATGTGTTCATTTTTCTTATCGCCAAACTCACAGTTCTCACTCAGTTCGTGCAGGGCTCGGATAAATGTCTCCGCCATTTCCCCTGGTTTCTGTTGCCTTTGGTAAAAGCATGCCCTTTCATGTATTGTGTTTCGTTTGGGTATGAAATACTCATCAAACTTTTCCAAGACAGTCTCATAATCATTTTCGTCTTCTTCCTCCGTGAAGGTAAAAGTCTTGAAAATATTTTCGGCTTCGTTGCCCATTGCGTAAATTAACGTGCTAACCTGGACGTCGGCATCCTCGAGGCTTCCCAGATAGCAAGCGGATGTGGGCCACATCAACACCTGTGTTGTGGGCCACATCTGGGCCACAACAATTTTGCTATCTGGGTTAGCTTGGAAGCTGACCTGAATCGTGCAAATCTCTGTCTCCACGACGGCCATTCTCCCGGTTTCTCAAAGTTGAAGTTTTCCGGTGGCTTGAACTTTGCCATTTCTGTGCGTGTGTTCTCTCCTAGAGCACTTCTGACACCATGTCAAATAAACTGTTGGCCGACACAGCTTACTGAATTCGACTTGTCTGCTTTATTGACAACTCGCATATATCATGCTGCTTACATGTTTCAGATCTCGTCTGTCTAACAACGAACTCTCGCGTTACTTCCTATATATAATGTATTAACTACGTAATGCACCCTTTACATTACAGATACCTTGACAAGCTTGTTGTAAATATCCACACAATAAACCACAAATTGTTCCAATTTGCAAATTAAAATACACAATTAAATACATAATTTGACCGTGTGGGCCTTAGTAGACAAATCGTAGAATAATACTCAATAATAGCACCAGTTACACTCAGTTATAACTTCAGTTGTCATGGTAACCTTAGTGACCGGATTAACCAAAAAGGGAAAACTAGGGCCCAGACAGAGGTAAAAAAAATATATATATATCAGTGGGGCAAAAAAGTATTTATTTTCAAGTTCTCCCACTTAAAAAGATGAGGGAGGCCTGTAATTTTCACTATACCTCAACTATGAGAGACAAAATGAGAAAAAAATAGTTAATTTGCAACTTATGGTGGAAAATAAGTATTTGGTCACCTACAAACACACAAGATTTCTGGTTCTCACAGACCTGTAACTCCTTCTTTAGGAGGCTCCTCTGTCCTCCACTTGTATCAATGGCACCTGTTTGAATTCATTATCAGTATGATAATGTCCACAACCTCAAACAGTCACACTCCAAACCCCACTATGGCCAAGACCAAAGAGCTGTCAGAGGACACCAGAAACAAAATTGTAGACCTGCACCAGGCTGGTAAGACTGAATCTGCAAAAGGTAAGCATCTTGGTGTGAAGAAATCAAACTGTGGGAGGAATTATTAGAAAATTGGAAGACATATAAGACCACTGATAATCAAGATCTCACCGCGTGGGGTCAACATGATCACAAGAAGCAAAAATCCTAGAGCCACATGGGGGGGGACCTAGTGACTGACCTGCAGAGAGCTGGGCCCAAAGTAACAAAGGCATCAGTAACAGAATATGCCACCAGGGACTCAAATCTTGTAGTACCAGATGCGTCCCCCTGCTTAATCTGAATATTGCTATGGAGAGCTAGACTGAAACTCAACTCGTCAAGTTTGGAGGAGAAAGAATGCTGAGTTGCATCAAAAGAACACCATACCTACTATAAAGCATGGGGGTGGAAACATTATGCTTTGGGGCTGCTTTTTTGCAAAGGGACCAGGGCGACTGATCTGTGTAAAGAAAAGAATGAATGGGGCCATGTATCGTGATATTTTGCATAAAAACCTCCTTCCATCAGCAAGGGCATTGAAGATAAAACGTGGCTGCAGGTGTTTTGGCATGACAATGATCTCAAACTCACTGCCCGGGCAGCGAAGCAGTGCCTTTGTAAGAAGCATTTCAAGGCCAGCCAGACTCCACATCTCAGCCCCATTCTGGATTACTTTTGTCTCATTCTGTCTCTCATAGTTGAGGTATACCTATGATGAAAATTACAGGCCTGCCTCATCTTTTTAATTTGGAGAACTTGCACAATTGGTGGCTGACTAAATACTCTTTTGCCCCACTGTATGTGGTAAAACGGGCTTTGGAGACCTGTACTGGTGCGCGCTTACCTGCTGCTCCACGGCGCTGGCCCGGTGGGTGATAAGCGCTCCCATTCTCATCCTCTTTGCCCACACACTCTTCCGGGCTCTTGTGTTTGACCGCCTTGTCACCAGCTCCAGGTACAGTCCCCTTTAACATCCAAAATCACAATATATGCAATATCAAAAAAAAAATCTGATAGACTCTTTTATATATACAACACATGGCCAAATACTGGGCTATGTAAAAGGTGGATTCACTTTTATTTGTAACTTTTGTAATTTTCAGATTTTAATTAATAAATAACATTAATGGTGTGGCCCAAAAAATACAGCCTCTCTAGACCTTATTATTGAATGCAACTCTAGTTACAGGCCCTTAAGGTCCATTTGTCCTTTTTGTTTTATTTGTTAAAAATGTGTACAATACTGCATGTAGTACCTTCTTTGTTTGTCATATATATACTAAATTACATCAAAAAACAAAACAAAAACTCCCTTAGTTGAAGACGATTTTGTGCATTTTGTTTGGCCATTAAAAAAGTCCTTGATGGATCAGTTGGTTTTTATTGTCATGCTATAATAATGTTTTCTGGGTATGCAATGTAATTAAATGATTGATTGGATGAAATCTGACCCTTGCACTGTGATGAGACCTTTGATCTTGCATGTTTGTGAAAAGCACTAGCCAACTCCATGTCCACGTCGCCCGAGCTCGAGGCCGGGCTGGTCGTATCACAGCCGACCCCTCTCACCCTGCACATGGACTATTCCAACCACTCCCCTCAGGCAGGAGGCTGCGGTCCATCAGGACTAGAACCTCCCGCCACAAGAACAGTTTCTTCCCCTCTGCTGTTGGACTCTTGAACACTTCTTAACCTGTCCCCCCGCCCTTTATAAAGTCACTTTACTGCCCATCATACGTCACTTTACTTCACTGTACTGCTGTCACCTTACATTGTGTGCACCATGTGCACTTGTATATTGTAAATAGTAACTGTAACTCTATTTTAAATTTAAATTTATTCTTTAGAAGTGTTTTTTATTCTTATTTTTATTATCTCTTTTTGACTGTTGCACTGAGCCAAAGCAATTTCCAAGTCTGTGACCTCCCGTTACTTACGTTGGCAATAAAAATGATTCTGATTCTGATTCTGATGTCACATAATATTGTTAGTCGTGTTGAATAGTTATATCCGATCTCTATCATGGCTCATCTAGTACCACGTAAACCTAAGATCTTGCAAAATAAAATTACGAAATAACGAATGAGCTCTGTCATGGTGCAAACTCATCTTACTTTGCTGTTTTTTATGAATCCAGGAGGAACGCCAGACGTGGTAGGTCAAGCACTCCTTTCATTCCTAAGTAAGTAGAGCTACCTATTTCCAACGGTAGCTCATCATGGGTTTGTTGTTGACATGTGCACAGTTGCAATTTTGTGGCTGTGCTTGTTGTTTGTTGTTCTTCTAACTAAGGCTGTGTTGTTTGGTTTTCATTCTCCTTGTGATTCGCACTGATAGACAATAACTGATGCATTTAAAGGAACAATTAAATTTACATGTATTTATTTTGCACGTGCAATATCATGCACCATTTTGATTAAACTCATTAGATCAAATTAATTATAGGCCATTTTATTTGTTTTTACCAACCATTATCTGGAAGGCCTATAGAAGGCCAAAGGACTATTTACCTATCAGTCAATCTGTTTTTGTTTCACTGCCCTCTACTGGCCAGGCGCTAGAACTACATTGTTTTCAGTAGCCATCTAAACGCAGTGCTGGAGCCTGGTCGTTTTTGCTAATTACTTTACAGTGTCTCCGCAGCGTCTCCGTCTAAACCAGATCTACAGCCCGTCCGTCTGTGCGAGCAATCCCTCTCTCAATGTGGGCCTCCTCAAGGTTTCTCACTTATTTTTCCTTGTCCAATGCAGGAGGGTCAAAGAACAGTGGTGGTTATCCTGGACACTAGACATTCAACAACACTTATGGACATTTATCAACATTTATGGACATTTGTTATTTGCCCATTAGGGACCAATGGCTTTATGTGTTTGTAATGCATTTCTTCTGTTTGATTCTCTAATATCGCAAATTCAACAGGTTTTGTAAACTTAATTGTGTTGTGATGAAGGGCTGTACAAGAATAAATTGAATTGAAGTAAGTAAAATTAAGTAAGCTGTCCTTTGCTCTTTTCACATTTTTTATGGACATCATTTCTTGGTGCAGTTAGGGGCAGGTAGGGAGTCCAATTTGGGGACTGTTAGGATTAGATAGCAATATGGCCTACGTGCAGGACTATACAAGGACTCTGATTATTTTGACTATGATGTGCACTGTCTCTGTGTGACACGTATGTCTTTCAATGTGTGACGTGACAATTACATTTTGTCTGAGAGAAAGAAACAATTGAAACCACTGGAACTTGAGAGAAACTTAAATAAACTTTTCCAGTTTGGCGCACCACGATCCGTCTCTGTCTGCTTCATTCCTGACAGGACCACAGGATTTAATCTCTGCTGTTTGCAGAATGTTGTCCAGTTGCCTCGAACAAACCAGGACCTTCAGCATACACTAGAACGGTTTGAGTGTGAAGCGGCTGAGATGAGGATCAGTAGCTTCAAATCTGAGGGCATGGTGTTCAACCGGAAAAAGACGCCTTTACTTCTCCTGGTGGAGAGGGCCTTCCTCAAGTATCTCAGTAACATGATTATGCAACGCTCTCCGACTTAATCATAACTATGGCAAAGGTGATGTTTATATTTACATATTTCCTGTACACGCAATCTCACTTCACAATTTT